TATGGCTCTCTTGCGTATTGCGCTGGTCAGTATTTTTACTTGGTCTTTAATTCTGACTCATTTATGTAACTAAATTGGATGAAGAGACTGTGCAGCCAACAGTTTGGGAGTACCTACTCTGTGCCTTGTTTTACAACCATCGACTCTGAGATATTAACAGAGAAGCTGAGGTTCAGAGGCGTTACGTTTGATGCCACGTCTCCTGAGCCCAGAACTGTCTCTTCACAAGTTCAAGCCAGGAGGGTTCTCAGGATGAAATAGCTGAGAACAGGCAACCAGCCTGGGCATCCAATTTGTCACACTAAAGTCACAGAGCAACCTGGATACCTACAGATGTCCAGGTGGGAAGAACGGTTGTATGCCCTGGTTTGACTTGAGCATAGCCAATTTAATTTATGAGTTAAGACTGCTGAAAAAACAAAAGCTATTAAAAGAAAGCACTTGTCAAGTGCCTGCTATGTGCTGGGAACTTCTGTTACTACATCTTCATCTGTGAAATGGGAATGACAATGAAATAATAGCAATCTCCCCAGGTTGATAAAGGATCAGTAAGAGCCATGGAATCACTTAGCATAGAGCTTGCACTTGATAGGCCATTGATAAATAATCTCATTATTATCTTTGTCATTATTATCATCCTTGTAATGGTCCGGCGAAGTAGGGATGGCCCACTTAGCCTAATGATTAAGGAACTGAGGCTCAGGAAGAAGTGGCCATGGTCACAGGATACTAACCCGGGCCTGCTGGGCTCCATTCCTGTGCTCCCTCCACATGGAAGTCGGGGAGGACAGGAGGTAAACTGAAGCCTCAGGACAAGTGTGCAGAAGAGCCAGGCTTGGAGAGAGTGTGTACAGCATTAGGTCCTTTTGTCAAGTGAGGGGGCCTCCGAAGGGCAGCTGCAGAGAGAGCCTGGATATGCATGACTCTCCTGGGCCCTGCAGCTAGAGTTGCAGTTATGGTAGTGGGGCTATGCTCAGCCATGTGTAGCACCCAGAGGAGTGGTGGAGAAGCAGCTGCAATTCAAGCTGGGGCTGGACCCAGGTCCCAGGGCACTAGGCAGGGCCGGGCCACCCAAAGGGGCCATCTCGGCACCTGGGTGATGAAAGCTTAGGAGGGTGGAATGACATCATTTACATGGACCACATTTTTGGCTCGTCCTCACTTAGTCTAACCCAAGTATCAAATTGCTAGGATTAAAGTATAAAAGTTAAGTGTGTGGGCTGAGTGTGTTTCATAAAACAAGCTGCTTCCCTGTCAGCCACACTTGGCCGGGGCAATCTGTGCCACCCATATTTGGCATCACCCACCTGTGCAGGCAGCAACCAGGTGAGAGAAAGCAGTTGCCACAGTGAAAACACTGGCTTTAAGGTTGGAAAACTCTGGCTTAGATCTTGGCTCTGCAACCTGGGGAAAGTCATTTCACATCTCTGAGCCTCTGCTGCCCCGTCTGAAACAATCCCAACCTTTCAGGGTTAATTAAGGATCAAGGGAGAACTACAGAATCACTTAGCATAGAGGCTGCACTTAGTAAGTGCTTGATAAATATTATTATTATATTTGCTATTATTATTATTATTATCCTCACAACAACCCTGTGTGGTTCCTTCAGCAGATATTCTCAGTTCCCCCATCTGCCAAATGGGAAACTGCTGACGACTGCAGAGTGGGGCTTTCAGGATGAAATGAGAGGGCGCACACAGCATGGCTCCTGGCACATGGGAGGCCTTCTGTAACAGTTAGCCTCCTCCTGGCACCTCAGTTGGGCTGGTTACTCTGATTATCCTAATTCACTAGGAGTCCATGGCCTCTCCTACCAGGATTTCTCATACTGTGGGGTCATGACAACAACTCAGGCTGACGAGGTAGAGATGTCTGCCATGTACCCAGGGGACACAGGGCAAGGTTGAGCCAGAGAGAGAAATATTTATAATTCTTCAGTGGTTATACCAGTCCTTCTCTGCCATGTAATCTTTTTTCATTCTCATGCCAACTCTGGGGGTAGGTGTTGTGATCTCCATTTTGCAGATGGGGAAACTGAGGTGAATGACCAGTCCAGGGTCACACAGCAGGTCCTTGAATAGGGCTGGCACTTGCTGCTTTCATCCATAACTACCTGCTGTCCAGTGCTGGGGCCATTGCTGCCAAGGGGAGAACAGCGAACCCAGGAGCAGTTTGGGGGAGAATTTGGGGCTCGTCATAGACTCAAGCTCTCTGCCTTGATGAAGTCTGCTGTCTCCATGGTCTGATGGGCCTGAGGAGACCTGGCGAGGAGGAGGCAGCTGGAAGAAGAAAACTCCTAGAAACCTCACGCTCTTTTGGACTCCTCCTAACAGTCATGACTCTTTTAGAATTACAAACTACTTTAGTACTTTGCAAGGAGGTCTCAGGACTCTGCGAACATCGGCCTCAGGAGGAACCTTCAAGATCATCTGCTCCAGGCCTTCTACTCATTTGACTGATCAGAAAACAGAGCCTCTGAGGGACGGAGACATGACTTAGCCAAGAGCAAGGCCAGTAGCGGGGCATTGCAGCCTCATGTTCCAATAGCACCACTGGATCACGAAGATGACAGGCCGGAGTCAGGACAATCAGAGGAGAGGTCTCATGGGCAGGACAGGGCAGGGCAAAGCAGGGCATGGCAATGAGGCCATGGCGAGATGCTAAGTCTCCTTCTGCTGGGCACTGTTGTCAAGTCCTCACCTCATCTTTTCCCTTCAACATGCCTGTGTGATCAGGGTTGTTGTCCTTACTTTACACAGTAAGAAACAAGGCTCAGAGAAGTCTGAAGTCAAACAGCTTCTTAGTGAAGGAGGCAGAATTCAAACCTGGTCCTGCCTGCCTCCAAATCCTATATCATTTCCATTAGACCTCTTGTACTGTGTTGACTAGTGCCCTTCCACCCCCGCCGCCCGCCAAAGTCATGCTCTTCCTGGAACCTCAGAATGTGACCTTATTTAGAAATAAAGAATGTAGATGTGATTAGCTAAAATTAAGTCATACTGGAGTAGGGTGGGCCGCTAATCCTACATGGCTGGTGTCATTATAAGGGGAAAGACACAGAAAGGTGAATGCTATGTGAAGTTAGGGAGAAAAGACAGGGAAGAATACCTAGTAAAGATGGAGGCAGAGACTAGAATGATGCGTCTACAAAACAAAGAGCACCAAGGACTGCCTGAACCTAGGAAGAGGTGAGAGAGGATTTTCCCCTTGAGACTTCAAATAGAGCATGACTCTGCCAATGCTTTGGTTTCAGGCTGCTAGCCTCCAGGACTGTGAGAAAATAAATGCCTGTTGTTTAAAGCCACTTTGGTACTTTTTTTACAGCAGCCCTAGCAACTACTAGGAACTACTAGGTACTTCCTATAGTACTGAAAAAGGGGCGATGTACAGGCATCGTGGATCCCAGGTGTGGTTGTGCTGAAATTCAGAATATCAGAGCAAACTCAAGGTGAAGAAGGATGAAGGGAACATACATTTGTCTGACGTTTGCTGTATATTGTATGCATGTGATCTTCATTATTCCCCACAGGAAAGTATAGCCATTCCCATTTCACAGATAAGGAAAGTGAGGCTCAGTGAAGGGAGGGATTTGTTCCTAAGCTCATTTCCTCCTGCCTCTAGGTGCTCTGTAAAGAGCAAACCCAGACTCCAGTTTGAGTCCCAAAGAGGTAGGCTATCGCTTCCCTTCTCTGAGCCTCACTTTTCTCACCCAAAAAAGGCAATAATATTATCTGCCTCTCTGGAGATTGTGAGAATAAAATGAGTTCATTCTGTCATTCAACAAATATTTATTGAAGATCTCTGTGTCAGCCCCTGCTCCATGTCCTGGAGTCATAGCAGTGAACAAGATGGGCAAAGTTCTTGCTCCTAAGGAGCCTGATTCTTGCTAATGCCTGTTGGGTGCTCTGCAGGGGCTGATGCTTAGTAAGTGCTCAATAAAATTTATGGGGATAAGAATATAGGATTGAATTGGATGGCATGTGGAATGAGCTTGGTCTTTAAGAACAGCTCGCTTCCACACTAATCCTCTATCATTGATTAGTAGTACAGCCCCTTGGCCCAGGAGAACACAAGGTCCTTTTGGCCTGGGACCCATATTCTTGGGTGCCCAGCAGTTGCCGGTCCAAGCTGCCTCCTCAAAGCCAGCAGAGCTCTCTGCTGCAGGCATGGACTGCAGAGTCAGCTGAAGGAGCCTTAGGTCTTATCATGAGGGTTCTCCCCCGCTGCGCTGTCCCCCTTAGCCACAGGGCCTCAGCTGGGCCCCACCCACTCCCTGACTCTGTCCCTGGGCCAGGCCTGAGCCTGCCCTGGAGGCTCTCCCAGCTGTCCTGATGTCCCCTCTGGCTTCTGCAGACGCTCCCCCTTTCCACTCCTGGAGTCCTTGTCTGGACACCAGTCCCTCCCCCTCCAGAGGCGTCCCCAGACATCACCTCGTGCTATTCTTTTTCCTGACAACTGTGGTATCAAATGTCAACCAGGCTCTGCTCAGCATGGGCAGGTGGGGGTGGGGGGTGGTTCTTGATAACTGTGTGGTTTAGGGGAGGGTCCTCTGGAGCCCCCAAGGCTAAGAATGGCTGGCTGTGGTCTGGCTCTTTTCCCAACCCACTGTGCTTCTTGAGCAAACCTCTTCCTCCCCAGACCTTGGGTTCTCTAAGCCATCAAGGAGAGGCAGCTGTCTCTGGCTTTACTTGTTATGAGGATCTGGGGACACGGGCAAAACCTTTTGGGGACTGGGAAAATGCCGGGCAAGTGGCAGTGGCTTCCAGGTGGGCTCTGGAAGGGGGTTCTTGGGGTTCTGAGCAGCTATTCCCATCAGACCTTAGAAAATCCCGTCCTTCTGTCCTCACTTGCCCTGACTGAGCCGGGACAGCTGGCACTGAGTGCTGGGGAAGCGGGCTCTGGCGGGCCCTGACAGCTCAGCAGTGGCAGCAGCGGAGGTGGCAGTGGCCGCAATGGCAGGGGCTATTCTGAGAGCTGGGAGGGGCTGAGGAGCTGAGACTGGAGGAGGGGAAGCAGCTAGGGAGGAGACAGTCCTGTAAGGGTGAGGGGAGTGTCACTGTGGCCTGGGGAGAGGCTGTCTGCTGATGGCAGTGTGTTAGAACTGTGGTGTATGCTCCTCACTGGGAGGGGATGGACCAGTTGAGGTACTGAGGCATGCACTGGGGGTGTTTGGGTGTCTGTGCTCAAGCTCTGTGATTCAACTATGAGCCGAGTGGTAAAGCACGTGTCTGTAAGTGTGTGAGCAAGCAAGTATGCCTGTATTGGAAGTCAAGTGTGTTTGTCCTGCAAAGTGTGAGCAGAAGTAAACGTGCCTGCGTGTGGAAGTGGAGGAATGCAAAGGTAAGCAAGTGGGGGCTTGTTTGTGAACAGGAATGAATGTGGGAGTGGTAGGGAGGGTACATGGGAGATTGAGAGCAAGCATGGGGGAGGGGAGGGGAATGTGAGAGACCTGGGGTCAAGAACCACAGGAAGGTTTGGGTCTGTGCAATATGGATGCATGTGGAAGGGACATATGCAAGTATATGTGTAAGTGAGTCAGTGTGTGTGAGTGGGTGTGAATGTATGCATGGTGAGAGCAGGTGAGACAGTGTGCGTTGGGACAAGTAGGAAGGGAAGATCTGTGGGAGCAACACCAACAGTAATAAAACAGCAAGCCTTTACTGAGCACTTACTCTGAGCCTGGTGCTGACATTCATGATTTTATTAAATTCTTCAAATATCCTATGAAGTCGGTGCTATGACAAAACTCATTTACAGATTAGGAAATAGAGGCTTTGAGTAGTTAAGCAACTTACCCATACTCTTAATCACTATGTTATACTGCCTCATAATGAATGTGTGAGCAGGGGTCAAGTCATGAGTAAAGAAGAATGAGCGTCAGTGTGTGGCATGAGTGTGAGTTGGGGAGGGGGTGTGAGTTGGGGAGGGGGCTGAGAGTGCCAGATGTGAGCCACAGAAGAGAGTCCAGGCAGCAGATGTGGACACTGGGTGGGGCAGGGCCTGAGCAGAGTCTGAGTCAGCCTGAGTCAGGGCGTCTCTGCCAACCTGGCTTTCCAGCCCTGCAGTGGCAGCCTGTGCCAGGGCCCCCAGCTAAGAATCCTCCCAGCTCTGGTATGGCCCCCAGCAGGCCTCCATCTCACAGAGCAGGCTGGGCCAGGGATGAAGACCAGCAGGAGTTTTGCCTGGCCACCAGGGTACCTGAGAGGGCAGCCCCCATTGTGGGATCCCCAGGCAGTAAAGGCATATGAGAATTGTAG